AGACAGTGTGAATGGTGTGGGGGGGGGGGTGGTGCAGAGAGGGAGAGAGGGAGACACAGAATCCGAAGCAGGCTCCAGACTCTGAGCTGTTAGCACAGAGCCCGACGTGGGGCTTGAACTCAGGAACTGTGAGATCATGACTTGAGCCGAAGTTGGATGCTTAACAGACTGAGCCACCCAGGCCCCCCACACCATTCACACTGTCTCTGTCTCTCTCAAAAATAACATTTAAAAAAGTAGAATTGTTTAAGGTATATAAAACAAGGTCTTTACACACATGCACACAACACCGAATGCTTACAATCTCAGATGTTTGTCAGGTACACAGGCCCTATAAACTGCAATTTGCTTCCAAGGGGTTTCTGCATACTCCCTGTTGAAATCTCACACACAGGCTGCAGAGAACAGTACCAGGCATACTTACTACCAGTACTTACTAGTACTTACTACCAGAGTACTAAAAATGAACAGAATTCATCAATGAGGAGACAGTCCCATGTTTTTAAGAATCTTCTTGCAGCCCTCCTCTGAAATAAGCAAGGAACTAACTGCCCAATAAGATTTGTTCGTGCCTGCCTTTCCTCCTCCTATTTGGCCCCAAGCTGAACACAGCTCCCTCTAGTACAGCTGTCAGTTGCTATGGTTACCGAGGGCGGCAGCAATAGAGAGGAAGACCCCTACTGAGGGAAGAGGAAAAGGTGCCACAGTAAATAGCACCCAAGCCATTTAACACTTCCTCTAAGACAGGAGGCAGACTGATGGAAAGAAAAGACAACACAATGCTGTAACAGCATTATCAATAAAGCTAAGATAGGCCAGGACAGTATTAAAGGCTTTGATGTTGAAGCACAGTTGTGATTTCGGTTTGGTTTTAATTCTGAAGAAGAAAATGAGACTCTCTGAACTATATCTTCAAGTCTTCTGATCTAATGCAGTGTCTTTTTATGAAGGTACTATGAAAAATAATCTGTTCTGTTTTCTTTTTAAGATACGCAAAAAGGAAATTTAATAATGCCTTAATAGAAAAAGCTTTCCAATTCAAGATTCTGTGGGTTGTAATGAGTTACTATGTAAAAATTAAAGAAGCATTACCCAATTATCAT